TTCCCTACTGGCCTGTGCTCCATTACTTTCTGAAGTAAACTAAAGCTCAAGCCTCCAGTATAGCCTCACTAAATTTTTCCCTCAATCTCTGCCTTACACATTATGTAACATGCAGTTCAAAAGCTCCTCATGCAGAAAGAAAAGAGAAATGGAAATGTCATTATCAAAACAAGTCTGTTGCTTCAGTACTCTTTCATAAATCTAAACCCGTCTCCTTCCTGTATCCCGAATAACAGTCTTGTGTGACAGCTTTCAATAACCTCCCAAAGAGCATTTATACACATTATTGTGCACATATATACAGACCTTTGGACTAAATGTACATTTTTGGCATGCTACACTAAGCCCCAAAAATCATGTGTAACCCTTAAGGAAAACACAATGCAACGCAAACACTTAATGAAATTGCTGCACACGCACATTATGAAACAGTAAACTGACTACAATACAGGTACTGAGTGAATTAAGGACTTACTTGGCACTGTAAAACAGAATGAAAAAATCAGGGCTATTTCTAGAGCATTTAAGAAAATAAAATGCAGAGGGAAATGACTAAATGCTAAAGACACACACACACACACACACACACACACACTCTAATTAAACTCTATCAGTGAGGCAAAGAAAGAACAGCTGTCTTCATTTTCTGCTTCAGCATAACACAAGTGTGTGTCTCTCAAGCCGACACACTTATAGACACATAGGCAAAATATTCCACAACAAACCCTCAATCTCACTCGCTTTCTTATACACCAACACAGACAAAGCCTCAGTGCATACAGTGAAACACAAGCCCACATCAATAAATGAACAATCCCACCGTTTTGGCAGTTTCTCTCCACATGCCCAGAGCAAACAGATGGCGAATGTTCTCTTACATTTAAGATGGTACTAAGTGGCAACTTCGACCTGAAATCTGTGCTGTGGATGAGTCCTACTATTTACATCAGCGTGGCCAGAGTGTACTGCTGTACGTGTGTTATGTTCAACTACCACGGCCTATTTATGATTCATATTTCAAGGGGGAGTGCAGGCTGTGGAAAGCTGGCTCCCTGATGAAGAGCACTCAGAATGCAGGAAAACGTCCCAGCGTGCACCCACACTCACAACGCCCGAAATCGCACACCCACAGCTTTTTGTCACCCAAGCCGGAGCGGTGCGTGCTTTTGCATTTGTGTAACAAAAACATTTCCCAGTTTTGTCTTGCTTAAATTCCCTAACAAGGACAAAAACTAACTCCCACCAATTAAAATTTTCCTTTCTGTAGTTACAGTTAATAATGAGAAAACATTAAACTGTATACTTGTAATTGATGTTGCATGTTTCATTTGTAAATCCTTTGACATTCTCCTCCCATTTCTGTCAAGTGACTTGGAGATGCAGTAAACGGAGGCAACTCTGGAGGGGGGACTAGCTTTTTTAAGTAGAGTTATCTCTGTCAGTGATAATGATAGATCACAACTTCACACAACACAGTGGTGGGATTTAAATGCCATTCCGCTTACACAACACTGCCAGTAGCTATTTACTGTGGCTGTGATTCACTGTCAACTTTACAACCAAACGTGGACCTCCAGAGATGTGAGGAATCCTACTGACAGTCTGGGCTAAGGCGAGTTACTTGGAGATTTACAGCAGGGTGGAAGGTGAGTCAGCTCGGATTTACGTGGCCACTGCAGAAAACAACACTGAGTGCAACACAGCAGTGTTTTGGAGCTGATACAAACAAAAAGAACAATACCATGCTTTGACAAAAAACAAAAAGACAAATGTTATCACAGCAGTTAATGTGAGCTCTTATATTTAGTCTGCACAAAGCACAAAAATGGCAGTCAAACTGAAAAGTGATACATGCTGTATTCATACAAAATTCACCTCAGCATTACTAGGCAGCAGTTAATTTGCGACACCTAAGCAAATAAAACGGGCTCTTGTTAAAGGTGAGTCATCCTCTCAAGACCCTTCCCAGGTTTGACTGCATGAGAGAAGAGCTAATAACCGTACTGTGAAACGCAAACGGCCTTCCCAATCTCACAGATATTCTTCCGTTCCCTGAGCTACTTTACATAATCATAAGCTATTTTGTGTGCATCATTAATTCAGTCCTGACTGAAGCCATTTAATCATTCCTTGGAATAGGTGCGGGGTATCACAGTCAAGCTTGATGATTTTAACCAGTCATGTCATTTTAATGTCATGTCATGCAGGCCCAGTGTCAAATTACAGAACGGCTAAGTCTGCGGAGAGGCAGCCTGCTAAAGCTGCCGCAATCCCTCCACACCTTGAAAAGATGTTCACTTTGATGGTTTCCTCGGCCTCGTAGGGGAGGTCACTTCCAACCTAACCCACATCCTTACCCGTGGATGCAGACTGACAGTCTTGATTCAAGCTCAAGGCTGCCACTCAAGGAAACCGAGAGCACTGTATGCAAATGAGGCTGATCTGAATTTCACACGGCTATTCTGCAGTGTGGATAATCGAGGAAAGTTTTGTTGGGTGAATAAGCTCCGACTGCATTCTTTCGGGGAACAGTTATGAAACCGCTAACCTCTTCAGCTGTCAAAAATGAAACGCTGAATTTCACAAAAGAAAAAAGAAAAATCTTGTGCTCAAAGGATGAAAATGCACGGCCATATTAAAGGGCGTGCAAGCTTCAACTCCAAGAGGCACATCTGAAAGATACAAAGTGACATGAGCGCAGATCACTCCAGCCTACTGTACTTCCTCTTGGGCATAGTGCCTACACCAACATTAACCCCAGCACTCTCCCTTTCTCTCTTTCACTCCTTCCCTCCCTTTCATTCTCATCTCTTCAAAGCCACAAAACACTATGCTGTACCCTCGGTGCATGTTGTACCCTCAATGCATGCATCTCTGGGCCCTCCGCTGCAATTAGGCCTGCATTACCTTCAGTTTACAACAGACACACAAACACGGAGCCCGTTGTGTACTTTGAACTACACAGAGGAGAAGAAGAACACAAACAGCCGCTGGCTCCCAAGCTGAAAATTACTTTACTCATTCAATATTGTTAGCCTCAATAATGACAGTGTGCCAACATGGTGAGGCAGCCGCTAGCAAATCAGATGCAAAGCATTGTGATGCGTCTTCAGACAACAGTACTCAGGATGGATAATGTGTTTCCCCAAATCAATGTCCAGTCTTAACTGCTTCTGCTTTAGAGACGCAACATCACTATTAACATTCAGAACATATCAGAAACTAATTTACCACTTGAATGACTATAAAGAACAATCCAAAACATAGCACAATTTAAAACAAGAAAAAAAGCACAGAGGCTCTTCATAGATGGAGGCTCTTTATTTGCCTCTATATTTCTGCTGCAGTTCTGATAAACAGCAGAAGCAAATATAATATCTATTATGGCTCTCCAAAAAGTGTTCAATTATTTTCATTTTCTTTCATAAAAACTAACAACACCTTTTCGCAAAATGACCTGTTAACACTTCACTACACAAACCAAGGTTAGAAACATGAAGACTGTTATATTTTTAATATATATTATTTAAGATTTCGATATATCACACAATATGAAGTTGCTAGTTAGAGTATGAATGAAAGCTTACTGAATGTGTCCATTGCAACAGTTGCAGCTGTGCTAGAACGCAGTACGTGCATGCAGGTTTTTAGCAAATGCTCATCATTTTAAATCCTGATTTCACATTAAACTATTGTCTTTGGTGAGCAGTTGAGTGACAGGTGGAAAAATATTACAAAAATACCTCCTGAGAGGCTGAATGAAGTGACACAAAGCAGATACACTGTATTAATGGCCATCTGCAGATCATAATGTACTGTACCTTACCACGCTGAAAGTAACGTGAACTCATTTTCTGCCTGCAGATTGTGTCCTCCTCTGCTGTTCAATTTGCCACTCACTCGTCTACCCTCGGTGCTTTAATATGCATTTGAAGATATTCCACTTTATAATCTGCTCCTTCTTTAGCTCTTGTGTGTAAAAGAGGGACTCATTTAAATAAGTCACCACCCAAATATAAGACATTTGCATTCTGTTTTGCTCTTTTCTGAAAGTAAACCTTTGCCTAAATGTTAAATATGGAGTATGGTAGATTATTTTCAGGTCCCTAAACACAAACAGGCTAAATATTTAAAATATTAAACCTTTAATCCACCATTTCAGAATGAAAGCACAATAGACCAGTAATCAGTTATCAACTGATGGAAGGGGTAAGATAAATATTCAATGTAGCCATCATGTCACTATAAAATTTTGTGGGCAAAAGCTCTGATTATGCAAAGTGTTTGTTTTCATGGCATGCCAGGGACACACTTCTAATTACTGACTTTATGTAGCTTTTGATTTAATAATGTTAATATAGGACTGGAATATTCCTGCTGTAACGAAAGGATCCGCAGTGATAATAATCAATATAAGATTTAAAGAAACTAAGATTATCTGTGTAAGGTAAACAAACACAAAAAATGTGTTTTATGATAATAGCATTCTTGCACTTCAGAGACTAATAAGGGAATATATTAAGTAGTTCCCCCTTTAAAGCTGAACAAATGCAGCTTGCTGTACTTTGTAACTTGTTTTGACACTCCTGTATAGAACAGATAAGGCACTATAATGGCCGCTAACTAAATCTAAACTACATGCCAACCACGTTTAACACTTATGTGCAAAGCTCAAATAAAATTAAAAACTTTTACTACCTGCTGTTTTTGAGGTCCCACTTGGTAAGTAAATAAAGGTTTGGGGAGGTTAATTAATTAGTGTCACGATGAAGCGCTTCTGTCATCAATCTTAAACAGGTGGGGTTTGTCAGGAGTGAGGACGACATTCAATAGACTGCCAATATATGTATTGTAGCCTGAGCCAGAGAATTGGATTTTTCATTATTAAAAATCTGCTTTAGCAAGGGGAATACAAATCCTGCAGTTTAAGATCCTTTCAAATATTTTATATGGGTGTGAACGTTTCAGGAGCAACTTTACAGCTACCAGACATGCCCTACCTATACTTCATGCCAGTCCTCATGCTTTGCTCGCTGGAGGAAGGCACACTCTGAACAGAGAGTTGTCCAAGACTGCGAGCCACCATCGCCACCGCTCTGAACTTGCTGCGGGTGCCTGTGCTGGGGCTGTTGGCATTCTGTCGATTTAGCCGGTCCTCCGTGGTGCGGCTCACCCCCCCACGGTGGTCCGTGCACACTAATGACACCTGCATCCTGGCTTTTGGCCGGCTGTCCCAAGCGCAGATCCTCTAATTAAACTCTCCTCTGGCTAAATCAGGTACTGCAAACTCACAGAGGTAGAAAGTCTGAGGACCCTCTAAAGAGCGTGACAGAATGAAGTCTGTAGGACGCAACTACTCCAAATCCAGCCTCGCACTCTGTCTCTCCGTTTGAAATCACTGCTCAGTGACTGAGCAGCTTACAATGTTCAGTAAAAAAAAAAGAAAAAAGAAAAAAAAAAAAGAGGGGCAGAAGGGTGGGAGGGCAGATCAGAATGTATTCAAACAGTGAAGGACCGCTGATCAGGTGAAAACAAAATCCTCTCTAAGGAAGTCTAAATCCAAGCACACCATTACAGCATCTCTGCCTCAGCTGGTGTGAGAAACAAATGTACAATCGTTGCAGACTTCAGATACATAAGACGCTAGTCCAGTACAAATCTATAAATAAAAGAAAAGGCTAAATCTTTTAAAAATCTGAGTCCAAAAAAGCAGCGCTTGTCTGAGTTTCCCTCTGCAAGTTTCTCCTTTATTCATCTGGTTGTCCTCCCGCTCAATCTATTAATCAGAAGCTCATCCGAGGCTGACAGGCAGATTTCCAATTTCCTTTTAAAGCAGAGCTCAGTGCTAGAGATAACACCTCTTTCCACCAAGCCTTAAGAGTGGAAAGGCATAGATCCACACAAAGAGATGGAGGGAATTAAACACACAGTTCCAGGAGGTTTTCATCGCCCCTTGAGTCCGCCTTGACAGTCACCCCGGCTGCTGAATATTTTACTGAATACTACTGCATGTTAGGAATAGGGCAACCTCATATTCACTCGTAAGCTCAGCCCGTTGCCTGGATTAAACTTACATCTGTATGTCTTGTGCTCAGCATAAAGCGGCACAGTGCACACCAAGAGAAGGGAGGAGAGAGGGAGAGGGAGGGAATGTGGTGGGAGGGATTTTCAGAGAGCTACAGCAGCGTGAGAGAGCAAGGCATTGAAATCTGTTGTGTTCACAGCAGCTCTCTTAAGAAAAGGGTAGTGCATTTTTGCCTTGCAGTGTGTTTTAATATAGTTTATTCAGTCAGAAGAAAAGGGGGGGCGGGGGGAGCTGAGCGCTCACTGGTCAAGACTTTGCAATAGCCTATGGCCCCAGAAAAGGGGGCTCTCACGTGGGTCTATTCAACTGCCCATGAAATATTCATTATGTAACTTTATCTGTAACAATATATATCAAAGGCAGGGCTGTCAAAGACATAACCGAGATGCTGTGTTTTTGTCTATACTGCTTTATTATTTGACCTCTGATGAAAATATTGTAACGGATTGAAAGAAACTGAGCAAAGAAATACTTGCATGATACAGCTGCTGTTTATTAATATTTAAACATCTGGTATTACTGGTTATTATAAACTGATCTGATGAACAATTAAAGCATTAGGTGAGGTTAGTAGGCGTGGAAAGAGTGAATAGTAAAAATATGATAATGGCTGGGGGTTGAAAATAAACACCACAGTAATAGGACGCAACGCAACAGTGGCTGCAGATTGAAGAGACAGTAAATGAGACACAAGCTCGCAGTAATATAATACTGAAGCTTATCTGTGTGGACCAGCTAGTGCGCCAAGGAGATAATTAAAAGAGATGCCATCAGCAGCAGACATGTGTAGTAAAGCAGTCGAAGAAGCAAACCTCCTTCAAAGGAATCCAGCAAACAGGCTGTTGCTAACTGACAGCCCTATTCTTGGAGCCATGACCTTTTGGTCTCCTGGACTTAAATAGACGCTTGAGGGGGAAAGGTGGTTTAATTCAACTGAAATCTGATTTGAATTTCACACCGTGTGCAGAGAAGCCAAGCTCAAGTTGGCCTTTCGAATGCTCTTTCCTGTAACAAAGACAGAGTGAGGAGTTTAAAGGGTGGCCGTTGAAACAACATCGCATCGAATGTGCGACTGCATATCAATCTCAGCAGCGGCAGCAGAAGCAACATATAGGCAAGATCAATGGGCTCTTGTCAGCTTTGCAGGGTTATGTCCCGCACTTTGGGATAGGGTGGTAGGATACACATGTGCCATTCCCTCCACCAAGGCTCTCTGCTTATTTTGATAAAGCCGTTGAGCATGAGAGCAGGACCTGGCATCCCTTTACCACAGGGTACACTCACTGCCAGTGCTGTGGAAACGTGATGCCACAATCGACGCCCCCGGGAGTCGTGACATAGGGACGGTACTGAACAGAGGTAGGCCAGGGACAGGCGCTCAGGCTGCACAGATACAGTGTCAGCCTTGTGATCTACGCTAAGCCCACATAATAAGCCTGACAAAAATCCCACATATAAACATGTTCTCAACATCCAGCCTACGGCCCGGCTAACAATATTCAAGCAATGAGGTACAACCTTTGTCCTACAGTATATTTTTGGGCCTTTTACCACTCAGCCATGGCTTTTCATGGCTACTGAAACCATGTGATGACTGATTTCCTGTCATTACTCCACCATATAAGTCCTTTGTTAACCCTTGATTTATCTTCATCTGAAAATCTACACTTTTTTTGAATGTTGTGTAATGTAAGATACAGTAATCAATATGAGCATGCATCATCTTAGAGACAACTGATCCATCACCTAAATGATTCAATAGAACAATTTTTCATGTATAGCTTATCCTGGCGTTTTGTCCAGCTGACAGACTCGCACCACCAGATGCAAACCACATCACAACAGTCTGTATTTATCATCTTTATTCACTTTGACAGTCCTGTAAAATATCTAAAACAAAAATTACACAACACCACACACAGTGCCTTGTTATTACTAAATACACCAGCAGCTATAAACTACTACAAAAAAATATGCCAACAGAGTGAGCAACAAATATGCTCAATCCAATAAACCATGCTTGTCACACTTAGTATGATTTAATAATTCACAACAGGCACATCTGCCAACTTTCTTTAGATTGACAGCATGCGTTTCATTCCCTTTGACTATATCTGGAAAACAGAAAAAGGACCAAAACACCAGATCACCAGGAGAGACTAGCATTAAAGATGACTAACACCTTATCCCTGAACGGTGATGTGTATGGTTCAAAATGTTAGAAGGTGTTACTGTGAGCATGCCTGACTACTTCTACTGCTGTCAAGTGAAGAAGTTATTAGTGAAACCTTTCATATCTCTTTTGTTAGAAACCTGCGACCATGCCCACTTAACATGCAACACTCCTGCAGACATGATATTGCCGAAAGGGAGATCTTTCGACCTGCGTGACACTCCCGCTCCATAAACCACCTCTGTATTTATTTCATTACTGAAGTTTTAACTTGCACGACACATCAAAAATTGCACTACAGAGGGCACACTGCCTGCTCCTGAACCCAAAGTCAAAGTCAGTCTGAACAAATGCTTACACGTGTATTATCTCATTTTTCACGCACACTTTAAATCAGGATTTCTTTTCTCAACACTGTTATTGAGCAAATACTGGCCTGACCTATGAGCAGCTTTGTGTTCATTCAGTCTGTTGGAGGAAATTGGGAATGAACCTCTATTAATTCTATTCAAGTCACAAAATAAATCTGTCATAAAGGATGCTGAACTATAAGTGCCGCAAGATAAATCGCTAATTAATGACATTGTGTTTAGGGTGGGCACAGCAGGGTGAATTTGCTCAACCCAATGCACGGCTGTTTTTTTACGATAAAAAGTGATTTTATCAATGCAGAGGGAAAGAAGTGAACAATACCTGAAAACCAAATCCTATCAGTTCCCATTGTTAGTTCTGGTTAGTTCATTGTAGCTGGCAAATCTCAGAGGAAAGAAATCCATCTCCTCCCACTCCACGTTATCACAATGGCCACCCTTGTGTCGTGGCCTTCCTCTCCTTGCTTTGATTAAGTGTCTGATTTGTGGTTATCCCCCCCCCCCAAAAAAATCTACCAAGCTGCTAAAATCCTTTTCAGACCCTTAATCACTGTGAGCCCTGATGGGGCTCCTGCACTTTGCGGGGGAGGAAGAGGAGAGAAAAGATGAAGATATATAGCAGAACATTCGTGTTTCACGACTATAGCGGAGTAAAATTCACCAGTACCAACAGCAGCACTCTTTTTCAGGAGTGTGCGGACAGAGAAGGAAAACAAAAGGAGCAGGAAAACAAAACACCTAAAGATAACAGTATTCAGATTCAAATTCACCATGTAGCCCAAAAAAATAAATAAATAAAAAAAATAAAAATAAAGCTGCAGAAACATATCCCACTTACTGACAATCCTACATCCTTACCAATACTAGAAAGGAAATCTGCAGAACACCTACACAGTTAAAATTATTGGTTGCGTTCTGTTCATCCTTGCAGCCCTGATCGGGAAGAAGCTTTGGCAATCAATGACGCCATACTATAATGAAGCCTCAGTGGTCTGTTCGGGCTGTGCAGGAGTTTTTACTCAGACAACAGGCCTCTCCCAAACTACAGCCCACATTACTGCAGCCAAGGCGCACATTGGCAGAGAGGGGAAGACAGATACTTTAATCAACAGAGCGTTAGAAAACTACTCTGACCACAGAGGTACTGTGTGTTACGGCCGTGTGAGCTCTAAAAATAGACACGAGCTCTTCTGAATCAATGCTACACAATGATCCTAGATAAAATACACCCTTAGCTACTGAGAGGGGAAAAGGACACCCAAATATGACATATGTCACCACAGAGAGTGTCTCATGTGGTCTTTCACTAGTTTGCTCTCCGGGGCGGTCTGCGTACCTCCATCGAGCTGGGTTTAGCACATGGAACTGGCATCGAGAGTTGCTGCAGGGTGCTAGGCCTCATCTGTCCAAGCTAGTTTAGCAAACACTGGCTTTCTGCAGCCTTCTGTAGGGAATACCGCAGAGATCCTCTGAAAAAGATACCTTTGAAATCTGCAATTAAACTGGGGTAATACATCTTAAAGAAATGAGTCATTCAAGCTGGGTAAACAGAATAACCTATAATCGTGAATATTAAGTCACAGATGGTTCAGCTGCTTCATCTCGCTCTGGCTCAGCCTTCTTTCTCTCTACTTCTCTTACTGTTAACTTAAGAAAGCGTATCCCGGCCAGGACAATGTCATTTGTGGTAGGCGGTGTTCATTTGTGCAGTGTATACCACGCTGTAGAGAATGGCCACAGTTGTATCATGTGCAACTGTTGGCCAGCTGTCCAATGGAGGTTTAAGTTCCCCTTACTGAGGGTTTAACTGAACAGCATTAGCAAGGTGAAAAGGATAGCGTCCCTGAGATGGGGGTGCCAATACTGCAGTATATGGGTTTCAAACATTTTGTTTAGTTTCTGTACTTTAATAAAAACTCTACTATTTTCTGATCTGAATGAACTCAACTGTAACAAAGAGGTACTGATGGTTTTACGTAGTCATACAAATACAAACAATGTAGAAAATTGTGTTTAGCTGAGGCTAAATACTATGTGACTGATTCTGGGAATTCCTGAGGAAACCAAAGAGTGAAGAGAGACACACAGGTCACATCTGTGAGTAGCGAGTGCTGCAATTCTTAACTCTCCAGTGAACATGACAGATTCCCCACAGACAGCAGGGCTCAGGAGGAGTTGTCGTTTCAGCTGTCCCTGCTGACACATCTAACAGAGCAGGAGAGCTGAGACAATCAAAAATAGATGACAGGGAACCCCTGTACTTATGTAATATAAAGTCATTACTATGCCCCTTTGGCTTTAGCTAAAGAGGCTCTGTAAAAAAAAAAAAATACATTAAATACAGGAAAATAGTATCTATGAATAACATATCTGGCATATTCATTTGTTTATTGTATTTTTAATGGATTACTGCAATGGAGTAAATATAG